AAACATACATACATGAAACAAAGATACACACACACAGATGAAACACACACACCGAACATACATGTCTCCTCCATGTTAACAGCAGCATCACACTGATCCTCCTCCCTGTCCCTGCTCCACTCTGAGGGGGCGGAGTCAGGGCGGTGCGCAGTCTTTAAACAGATGCGAAGCGGAGCCGAGCGGAGGAGACACCGGGACCAGCCGAGCCGAGCCGAGCCCAGCCGAGCCCAGCCGAGCCTAACTGAGCCCAACCGAACCATGACGGAGCCCAGCGACTCGTACGATGTGATAGTGGTCGGCGGAGGGATATCAGGTGCGTGCTGCGTCAGGAAACTTTACTGTGCGCTGCGGTTCTGCAGAGAGAGAAGCGTGTGTGCGTGTGTGTGCGTGTGCGTGTGTGTGTGTATATGTGTGTGTGTGCGTGTGCAGACCTGTTGCACCAACAGTGTGTGTGGATTAAAGGACTGTTTGGATGAAAGCTCAGTTTTCTTCCTCGTGGTGTTTGGTTTTAGTTTCTCTACCTTCCTGTCCCCCTCCTCTTCTTCCTCCTCTTCTTCCTCCTCTTCCTCCTCTTCTTCTTCCTCTTCTTCCTCCTCTTCCTCCTCTGTATCTCCCACCAGCAGCTAATCAGCCACAGCTCACCCAGTATTACATAAGAGGAAGGTGTGTGTGTGTGTGTGTGTGTGTGTGTGTTGCATCCATAAAGCTGTCATGTGACTCCACCTGTCTTGTTTTACACAAACCCTGTCACTAAAGTTTGACTGTGTGTGTGTGTGTGTGTGTGTGTGTGTGTGTGAATATATGTGTGTGAATGTGTGTGTGTGAGTGTGTGTGTGTGTGTGTGTGTGTGTGTGTGTGTGTGTGTGTTGATTCAATCCCACATGTTGTAGCTTTTGTTATTTTCTCTTTACGTGTATTTCGTCTTCGCTGCTGTAACGAATGAGACAAATAAAGTTTTAATTATTTTTTATTTAATGAACAGTGAAACACTCCCTTCATGTTATTGTGATGCTAAGCTAGGCTAATCTCCTCCACGTCATGTTAATGTGAAGACATGTTTAATGTTAGTGTTAAGTAGTAACTCAGGTTAGAGTCTCCGGGAAATAAAATAAGTCAATGCAATGTCCTCTGAGGTCATGGAGACAGTGTGTGTGTGTGTGTGTGTGTGTGTGTGTGATGTTCACCTCCTCCAGCCACTTAAAACTACATGTTAATTGCAAACTAATTATTAAATTGCTGCATTTCCCCTCAGTAATGATGATGATGATGATGATGATGATGAAGCAGAGGAAGAGAGTCCCTGCAGGGAAACAGGTTTGAGTTTCTTGTGGAAATACCAAAGCTTCTGTTGACGTCATGTTAAGTAACACTTTATTTCCTGTGACATGGGGGGGGGGGTACATGTCTCTGCATGTACCCATGCAGAGACATGTTTTATTTTGGCAGTCTGTGTTTTACTTTGGCGGTCTGTGTTCTCAGACAGTCGTTGTCGGTGCTGCAGAACTCCAGAGATCCTCCTTATTTGATAAGACTGATTCTAGTGTGTGTGTGTGTGTGTGTGTGTGTGTGTGTGTGTGTACACACACTTTAACCTGCTGTGACACTCACACACGAGCAGACTCTCGGGTACAAAGTGCAGCCGCAGGATTCAAACGTCCGTCAGCTGGTTGTGTCGAGCGATGGCGTCCGGCCCGACAGAGACTGAAACCTCCGTCCTCCCTCGTCCTCCCTCGTCCTCCTCTCTGACCGCTGTCGTCTCTCAGACAGAGAAGAATTTGGGTCAGTGTCAGTTCAAATACCAGTCACATCCCAAAACAAATGCTGGGGAGGGAAGTTAATGTAATAACGCAGCCTGGTGTCACATTAGCTTGTTGTAATTACACCATTTGTTTATCATGTGGCCTTTACTGGCTCACAATGAGCCCCACACATAACAATCACTGTCAGTGACGGGAGGAGAGGGAGGCGAGGGGGCGCCCGTCTCTCCCTCCTTTTCCTCCCTCTGCCTGCAAATGCAATTGTGGTCTTCCAGCCTGGCAGCCGCCCGCACACCAGCAGGACCGGCGCGACCCCTCGAGGGGCAGCCAGCACTTTCTGAGAAAACGCTAAACGCTTGTGACAGCTTGTTATCAAACCAGCAGCAGAGAGGATGCAGAGGAAGGAGGGGGAGGAAAGATAGGGAAGAGAAAGGAGGAAGCACTTCCTCTTTGTTGTGGTAGGAAGAAACAAGTGGTGAGAGAGGAAGGTCGGAGCGTCTGAGAGCTGAGGAAACCAGTGTTTGTGGGAAAGGGAACTTGATGTGAGAAGTTTCACCGGCCTCGTCGCTCCTGAGCTGAATAACAATCACAGCTCCGCTCAGTAAACTGTGCAGGAGGCGATTCAGACACTCGCTCACTGAGCCGAGGGCCGACAGACTCCCTGACCCCCCCCCCCCCACTGACTGTCACTCAGCGGTAAAGTGAAGTGAGTTCTCAGTTCTCTTGAGATGTTTTCGCAAGAAAAGATGAGAAGGTGGATTTGGTGACGTGGCTCAAGTCAGGAGGTGTCACTCACAGACGTAAACAGCTGGCAGCTCCTTCAGCTGAGCTTCAGAAACAACTCTGGTCCCGTTGTTGTTGTTGTTGTTGACGACATAACGATGGTCCGTCCTGTTCCACCTTTCGATGACGTGCATCCTCTGAGACGACACCGTGGGTCTGCTCGTGATACCTGAACGCCCCTGAAGCAGTCGAACCCTCGTCTTCTCGTGTCCATCGACACGGCCTCTATCCTGCTGCACTTTCTCCGCCCAGCTGTGCAAACACCAGCGCACTGAGCCGCCCGATCTCGTTATTAGTCCAACGCCTCGTGTGTAATTGTGTTTGTCTTGTAGGTGAAGTCGTGAGAAACGTGCAGCTGTAATCTCAGCTGGTTTTTTTTACTAATGATGACACTGTGAGAAACGCTCCTGAGGCTGATGGAGGTTTGCACATCTGGAAACTCACACATCTGGAGCTGCGATAACACAATAATAATGAAGATATGTTCCTGCTCAGTGTTTGTCGGACAGATCGCGGCGTCTCTGTTGCTGAATCCAGTGTTTGCATAGAGGTGAAGTGTGAGCTGCCTTTATGATTCTGATATTTATCAGTCCACCGCCGGGAAGTCTCTCTGCCGCATTTTCACTGTAAACCAACAGAACCAGGGTTCAGTTTGATCCGGACCCAGAACACGTCTTCTGGTCGGACTCTGGCTGCTGTCGCCTGGAAACAGAGTTCAGTTGCTCAGTTGAGAACAAACATCTACAAGTGTTTTGGTCAATAAGTCCATTATCGTCCAGGTTCTTCTGGAAGTTTCAGACGTATCAGTGTGTGTGTGTGTGTGTGAATACTCATGTTGAATTGTAGAGTCAAATATGAAAGAGAGTCTCACACACACACACACACACACAGTATCCAAATGTTCTTGCCAAGTGGTTCCACCTTAACAATTACTGTTGTCAAGGAAACTGCCTGATCCTGCACAGAGGATGAAAAGAACTCTGTGTGTGTGTGTGTGTGTGTGTGTGTGTGTGGGTGTGTGTGTGTGTGTGTGTGTGTGTGTGTGTGTCAAAGCTTCCAGCACCTTCAGGTCAAACTGTACCACGACTGTAGAACCTGGAGGTGGAGGAGACGAGCAGAGGACAAGACGTGGAGGGACACATGCAGCTGTAGAAGGAGGAGACAGATTTACTTTACATTATTGAACCGAACATTTCCGGCTCCTTCTTGTAAATAACGCAGCAGCCTCATGTTGCTCTAGATGCAGAGGATGAGCCGAACAGACTCATCACAGATCCACAAAGAATCACCAGAGAGAACATCTGATATTTATTGAAGTGTTTTATTTACAGAACGTCTTGTAGAATAATAATCACAGTGATTTCACTGAGCAGAGACAGAACTCCTCGATGTTGTAACAGATTTAAAAGACTGTTGAGCCAACTCACAACGAGATGATGCATCTCCAGGGATTTATCCCACGACAATAAATTAAATACTGAACAACATCAGCCCTCTTAATATGTCAGATTTGTTTTTATCGAGATTTATTCATTAATTTCAGGAAATCTGTGAAAATAAAATCACACAATGTTCAGGAAAGAGAAAGTAGTAGGACTTGAATGTGTCCACGTCCACGTCCAGCAGCAAAGTGACGAGAGGGAAACACGTTGAAACACATCAATGGAAACAGAAAACAGATGGAATGTGTAGAAGATGAATTCAGCTCGGTGAACGTGGCGAGGACTCATCTCTGACGGGTCCATCCATCTGTCACCTTTTCTGTTACGTTGCATCTCTTGTCTCTCAAACTTTTACTCTCTGATCTCACTGTTGATCCCCACGTCGACTTCACGCTTCGTGCACAGATTCACTTCTACCATGCCCCCCCCCCCCATCTGATCCCTCCTTAAATGCATCTGAACAAAGGAGGGGGGGATGAATGCGCTTCAAGGCCGCTGCGTCTGTTTGATAAATATCCAGCGTGTCTTTATGTTCAGAGAGTCTCCGTCAGTCTGACCTGAAAACCTTTCTCCTCTTTAATAGTCTCCGCATGGCCGGGGGATGAGAGGACAATGTTCAGGGTTCACAGTTTCCATAATTGCTCTCGTTACAGATCTCCACTTCCTGCTCTTGCTTTTCCCGCCACTGGGATCGTCTGCCCCGCCCCTGATCTGTTGTACCTGTGTCTCGTCCTCGTGTGTTTAGTGAACGCAGGAAGTTCCTCCGCTTATGGAACGAAATGATTCTTTACACACTGATGTGTTTCCGTGAGAGAGTCCGTGCTCTTTATGTCACACCTTCTTTCTGTGTCTGTGTTTCTGCCCCCCCACTGCTCCAGTCGGTTTCAGTGGAGTCTTATTGAGTCGATGGTTCCGTGCGGTTCCTTCCTCCTCTTCTGTTTCATGATGGCTGAGTGGAGGTCAGACAACAGGAGCGAGTGATGAAAGCTGCATTCTGATCTGTTGCTCGTATCGACTCGAGTCTTTTATCGTGAAGAAACAACTCAATTAATTCAAACAAGTTTCCAGATCAAAGCAGCGTCCAATCAGGAGGCTGCTCTCCTCTGACTGCTGAAGGCACAAACGAGAAACAGACAGACGCTCTTTGTTTTCCAAGACAGACGCTGACCTTTGGATCTGAGTGCAGGTAATAGCATCAATTTAACAGGAGGAAGATTTGTGAGCCTCTCGGATGCTCTCTCTGAAGCCTGCTGGGGGGGGGGGGATGCTCAGGGACTGGAGGCTGGAGTTGGGTAATACAAGACCAAATATACTAAAGCTAATATAAACCCTGCCGGCCTTAACGGGGTTAAGCGGGATTTGGATGGAGGGAGTCAGAGGTTCTAGATGTGAAGCAAACAAAGGAATTTAGGGCGAAGGCCAGAAAAACATCTGCACAGATGTGGGCGCCTGCCGAGGCCGAGTGCGGGGGCGGCGGCGTCCTGCCGTCTGTTACCAGTCGACTCCTGTGATCGTCAGTTTCAGCTGGAGCTTGATTCAGTGTGGAAGAGTTTCCTCAGAGCAGAGTCCTGACTTCAACCAAACATGAGCGGAGAAGAGGAAGGAGCTGTTCACCACACTTCACGTTCACTTCAGTCATTCACAGTTCTACTGTTCCAGGATCAGCATGAAACTCTCCAGATTAAATCATCTCTGAAGAATGTGGTGAATATTTGACTCAGATAAAAGTTTGTGTTTGTTACCAAAGAAAATCCGTCAACTACATCGATCAACAAATGTTGAACAGTCCCATCAGTTTCTACCAAACGTCCACAGACCACATCTGTAAAATGAAGCTTCTCATTATGACACATTTTCTATCTGATAAAGAACTGACATTAACGTCCGTCATTTTTCATGTAGCTACAGATTCATTTACTATTTTGAGCAGGTATTAAAAACCTACTTTCTCCATTTCAACCTGTTCTAGTTTCAGTTCGCACTGTTTTCCCTTCAAGATATTCTTCCTCTAAATACTAGACTTTATTATTTGGGACTTTCTAAAAAAAAAAACTAAAGAATCTAGGACCCGTAAAAAGAAGCGTTACCACGATATAATTTAAAATATGTTTAAAATAGTAAAGAAAGTACGTTTGTGCTCTAGAACTGAATCTCTGTGCGTCACTGTCGGACCTCAGTTCTGCTCTTGTGGCCGAATGGGATCAAATCTCTGCAGCCAGATTCTGGAACCTTTGTGCAAACTGTGTCCACAAACTTGTGGCCGTTTGATGTGTTAGTAAGTGATGTCTTGTGTGAATCCCTTTAGAGTTGTGTACTTGTTGCTCTGCCCTCACACGGTCAGCTGACACGTTTCTCGGCCCGTTCCTACAAAAATGTGCCCCTCCCCCTGCCCTCCCACCCTTCCCACAGCTCCTCGACTTCCAGCCAAGTCAGTGGAAAAAGGCAAATGTTGGGTGGTTGGACTTTAGGTTCGGTAATCCTGTTTTTAATCCTGCTCAAGAGACGCCTGAGGGAAAATTATTCAAACAAAACAAACGGATGATTTTTCAGTTTCTTCTTTTCTCTACTTTCTAAATCATCCCTTCATACTTCTCCGAAAGCTTCGTCACGTAGACTCACACAGGATGAAGTCTTTGTACTGAAGCTGTGGCACCAAGCAAACTCTGTCCTGACGTGTGACAGCCTCTGTGTCTGTCCACTTTACAAAGGGAATAGAGAAGTCTGTGTCTTCACTGTCCTCTGTGTCCCTCTGTCCCTCTGTCCTCTGTGTGCAGGGTTAAGTGCAGCCAAGCTGTTGAAATCTCAAGGACTGAACCCTGTGGTGCTGGAGGCCAGGAATCGAGTCGGGGGTCGAACCTTCACTGTGCAGGTAAGAGCCCCCGCTCTCAAACATCCCTAATATTAATAAGTAGAATGTCACCGTCGCTCACACCAGTAAATTAAACACTCACAGACATCAGTCGTCAGGTTTTACTGTTGAAACTCAAGTGCTGGAATGTGATTATATTTTATATTTTTCATCTTCCTTGTGTTTGCATGTTCTTTGTGTGTTTTTCAGAATAAGGAGACAAAGTGGGTGGATCTGGGCGGGGCTTACATTGGACCGACTCAGAACCGCATCCTCCGATTGGCCAGAGAATACAACGTGAAGACCTACAAAGTCAACGAGCAGGAGAAGCTGGTGCATTATGTCAAAGTGAGTGTCTCGGGATGTGGTGTTTTCTTGCTGTTGTGCAGAGACGTGTTCCTTCGGTCAGGCCGTCCTCCGTCAGTCACTTGAATGCAGCACACTTTAAAATGACTTGTAAACCAAACACGAGTCTCACGCAGCTGAGACGGGGACTCGTCCAGCAGCTGCACCAGCGTCGCTCTGACTCTGCTCAGAGAAGACAAGGTAACATCTTGTGCTTCCTGTGATTCCCACATGTCTGCTGAGCAGCATTAGTGACTGCAGATGCTAATCTGAGCCTGAGGGGCTTCTGTAATGCACTTTCTCTTTTCTCTGAGTGGTTGAATGGAGAGTGAAGCAAACAAAGAAGGAAGAAAGAAACGAGGAGACACTGCGGCCATGTTTCTTTGTTCTCCTTGTTCTTTGCTCCATATCTCATTATTGTGTCGTTAACACAGTTGTGTTCTTACCTGATTTGATTTGCTGCCGTGTGTGTGTGTGTGTGTGTGT